TTTCTTCCTAGGTCATGTGCCCCTCCAAGCAGAAGCAACCAGTGACCTCTGGCCAAGGGCAAGGGCCTCCCCATCCTTGTGGCCATGTTCTGGCCCCATATTGTGTCAGATGTGTTCCATCATCCTATGAATCCCTGGACATTAAGGGACAAGGATTTTTTTTTTAATCAAACACCACCTGTATAGACAATTTTCTAAAGTTCTAAGTGGATTTTTCTTATGTTACAGGACAAGAAAAGGTAAAGTAGTCAGTGTATTAGGAATCGCACTACAGAATATCAGCATGATTTTGTCTTCTTAAAAACACTGAGAAGTGTGCATAGGAGATTTACACAAGGATGCTTATAGCAGCACTTTTGTTTTGTATAAAATAAGTCTAATCACCAGGAAAAGGGAAATGGTTCAATATTCTAAGGTATATCCATAACATAAAATATGATGCAACCATTTTTTTAAAAAATAAACCCAAACTTTGTATTGAACTGGAAAATAATCTCTAAAATATATTGTTATATTAACAAAACAAGTTACAGATTAAGACAATGTGATATTGTTTGAAGTTTTTAAATCCTACAAAAGGAAATCATGTTATCTATATGACAAACGCATAGAAATGAAGATCTGCAAAACCCATAAGAGTAGTTGCTTCTGGGAGGGGGACTGATAAGAGATGAGGGGTCCAGGGGCATTTCAACTGCACTATAAAATGTTTCCAAATGGAATCTATATTGTGTTACATATGACCAAATGGTTGAGATCAGGGACTTTGAGGCACCACTTGCTTTTTTAAAATTTCAGCTTCACTAACTTAGTAACTGAGGCAAATTATATAACCTCTTTGAACCTCAGTTTCCTTATCTATAAAATGGAGGAAATAATAGTTCCTAACTTACAGAGTTGTTATAAGAATTAAACGAATATATATAACAATTAAATGAATACACACACACACACACACACACACACTACAGTGCTTAACACAAATTAAATGCTCAATTAATGTTTGCTATTATTACTACCATTTCTAATATTAGACTTAACTCAGGATGATAAGGGAGTGAGTGCATCAACAGTGATTGGAACCTCACTCCATTTACTGGAAATGAGCAAATGAGAGATAAGTTCCCATTTATGAGGTAGCAGTCTTAAGATGGATAACTCTGAAAGGAACAGGTCTCCTCTGAATCAGAACTGGAAGATATGAGCGAGGAAGGTGGCCTGGAAAACACAAAGAAAGTGGAACCCCAGGCAAGGAATCAGGTCACTTTGATGCACATCTTGAACGCTCAAATGAATTTCTGAAACCTAACTCAACCCTTAAAATTTTTCTTATAAGACCAAACAAAGGATCCCAATTACCGACACCTAGAACACGCAGGTCGTGACCCAAGAGGCGTGGACTTCCCAAGTCCTGAGCCTGCTCCATCGTGGGGAGGAATGTTCAGGTCATGAAGAGCAGGAAAGGGTGGGAAATAGGGGTGAGTCAGGGTTTTTCTTTCTTTGATCTTATAAATAGGCCTCATTTCTTTTTTCAAGAACCTGCGGTGCGGTTCAGTATGCTTAATTAGATTGAATAAATTAATCCTTACTATCTCAAACTAATCCAGAAGCTATTATGTAACAACAGCATTTATTTTAAAATATGTACACCACACACACACACACACACACACACACACACACACACACACACAAGACCACAATCTTTCAAGCTATCAATTATAGTCATTAGAAACAAAAAATTCAGAATGAGTCCTTGACACAAGCTGAGTGATTTCAAGGCAAGTTAGAGATATAATACACAATTTGGTTATTTATCAAACTTCTACTTATTCTTTTTAAAAGAAAGGAGAAAAAGCTCCCATGAGGCAGCACTCACCTTAGACGCTCCTAAACCTTAGATTTTTTTTTAAAGTCTCCAGACCACCAGGGGCCAAGGACCTACTTAAATCAAATGTTAAGTGCTAGAAGAGGTTTAAACTAACTACTTATTAACTAAATTGTTAACAGGGGATAAGACCTCATTTAGAGAGGTAGTACTTTACTATTTGGATACAAACAAGGAAATGCTGCAATACCTCCATCATATTTGCTCTCTGGGAAAGCAATAAGTGAGTATTTATTTACTGATAGAATTAAGTTCTCTGAGCAACAACTTGTTCAGTCTCAGGGAGATTTTCTAATAAAAGATTTGCCGCTTGTTTCTTATTTACTATGTACTACAATATAATGAGTTTTCAAAGAGTAAGAGGCTTGAGGACCATTTGATTAAACCTTTTCAGAAGAGTTCAATGCACACAAACTGTTCATTAACAAGGCCAGAAATATCCCTGGAGATGAAATTTAGATTTCTGAAATGTGATTTTTCATTATACTTGGAGCCAAAGCACAGTAGGAATACATATCAGATTATAATAGAGAGATATGATTTGAAATTCAATTATGGCAAGTACTTGAATTTTAACAGTTCATGGGTACACTCTTCAAGAATATCTCAAATGAATAAAATGATGACAACTTGGAATCATGTTATTATCAGAATAAGATATCTAAGGAATATTTTACTCTAACTGGAAGTTTCTATGGAAGGTTAATTATTCTGAATATAAATCATTCTAGAGATAATTTTTAAAGAAAGCATGAACCTATGATGAAGGGTAGTTTATAGTTCCCATCCACAGATGTTCATCCAGCACTCCTCTATACAACAAAGAAGGGATATGGCCAGGCAGTTTTTTCAAGGATTCTGTGTTTCGTAATGGAAAACAAGACAAACAGACATGATAGATGTGTAATGACACATACCTGAATGATACTCACTGGATACACAGACAGCCCACCCCTGCCTTGAGCACAAGGAGGGATGACAAATCTATAAGACCTCTCCAGAAACTTACAATATTTCTCCACAAACAAAACAGACACACAAGATCACTATTTTTATAACTAAATAACAATATATCAGCAACACTTTGATGACCCTGGGGGCTTGGAGGAAGTGAAAATTCACAGAGGGTTTGTGTGTGGGCAGAAGATTTGTGTCAGGCACAGTTATGGTAGCTATTGATGAGAGGATTAATCCTTTATTTCAAACATTTACATCACTGTTTTTTTCCATAGGTGAAAAACAAGAATTCTAGTATATCAGTCAAAAAGTTATTAAACGTTTTATGGGAGATCAAACCCAACAACACATTCCCTCAGTATCTCAGTCTTACAAGCAAAATAAATTATAAGCTGAACATCTTCTAGAGCATAAGCGAATAAAAATGGAAAATATTCATAGAACATTACAGATTATGTTTTCAATTTTTTCTGTTTTATTTTTGTCTTAAATTAAAAATGTTTAGTTGTGTAATATCTCAACAATTCAGAAAAAATAGAGAAGAATGTCAGTTACCAATGGACTGTTCCACTGGTTCTCAGAAATATTAACCTTAATTGAATCATTGCTTCAGTTATCTCTCTTTTTTAAGAAATAAAACTTCATTTTAGTGACAATTGAAGCACCCCATTTCATTCCTCAACCTCCATCACCAGAGGCAGATAATAACTTGACTGTGTTTCATATTTTGCAAAAACATAAAACTTTAAGCAATGTGTAGTAATGTTTGTACATCTTTAAATATACAAATGTGGTCAATTACACTAAAAGATTTGCTAATGTAAGCCATCCTGCAAAATTGGGATAAATACAAATTGGCAAAAAATGTACTTTTAAAATATTTTGATAGATTTAGTTTGCTGATATTTTATTTCAGATCATTACACTCATGTTCATAATTGACAATGGCCTATAATTTTGTTTTGTTTTACCTTGTACAGTTCTATTATCGAGGTTATACATATAAAGATGATTTGGGGAGTTGTACTTTTTCTATTTTTTAAAAAAGTTTATACAAAGTAGTACTTATCTGTTCTTTAAAGATTTTGTAGTCTTGGCTGTGTCTGGTTTGTTTTCTGGAGGGGGTGGGGGTCAGGTGAAAGCTGTAGATTATTAACTGGATTCACTTAGTTTGTGGTTATAGGTATATTCAGTCTTTTTGTTTCATTAATTTTTGTAATTGATTTTTTTTTAGGAAATTGTCCAAATTCTCCAAGTTTCCAAACATTGTCAGGAACTTATCTATAATATTCTCTGATAGGTTTTTAAATCTCCACCTGTAGTTCTGTCTTATCTTTCTTCCATGACTTCTATACCTTCCCTTCTCTGATCATTGGACATTCTTGCCAGAGACTGCTTTATTACTCTTTTCAAGGAACTAGCTTTTACTTTGGTTGATATTCTGTATTATTACTTTGTTTTCTAGCTCATTAATTGCTATCCTTATCTTTATGATTTCCTTCCGTCTGCTTTCTTTTTGCTTGCTCTGTGGTTCTATTTTTTTTCATTGTACTGTGTTGAGGACTTAGCTCATGAATTTTCAGTTTCTGTCATTTTCTAATATATGCAATTATGATATAAATATTCATTTACAGTGTTATGTGAGCTGCACTCAACAGGGTTTTTTTTTCCTGTTTGATTTTAATTATTTCAAAACATATATTATCCTTTCTTTTGTTCTTATAGTTTTTAATTTTTATTAAGGAGAATTTCAAACATACAAAAGCAAACAATGCTTCACATTGAGTAATTCTGGAATGTTCCTAGTTCAACAGGCAAATGGCCTTTCTAATATAAGCTGTGGGTAATAAAGTTCCCTGGTTAATTTTATTCTAGAAATCCTTGTGCATGTCTTATTTCTTCTCTTTGAAGACAAAAAGTATACCTTAAATGACCTTGTTTGTACATAGCGAGCGCTCAACAAAATCTGACCGAATTAATATTTTTCATTCCATCTGACCACATGACAAGCAGCCCATTTTGCCAAAATGCAGCCTTACCTTCACAGACAGTTAAAAATAATTTTAAAAATACAATTAGCATTTTTATCACTACAACTCCCATATTTGAACTTTCATGAAAGTTCAGAGTAGTTCAACAAACACCATTTGAGGAGCTATAAATAAACAAGCTGCCTATGGAACTCCAGTCGTTTTTTCCTCGTTGCCTGCCACTGTTCCCTGTCCTCCTGCTTCCCTTTCCAAAGGGTTCAGTGTGTGTGCTCCCAGGGCACAAGCCATCCAAGCCACATCAGCCGCACTGCTGAGCCCAAGAAAAGCACCACTAAGCTTCCACAGGAAAAACAAGTTGTTGCCACACGAAGGAAAAGATTCCATCGCTTTCAGACTCCACCACCACTGGCTCAACTGCTTCTAAGAATAGCTGAACTGTGGGGAGGGAAAAAAAATACTGGCACCAGACACTGGTCTTTAATTGTCTCCAGGCTTTAAAATAGAAGCAAGCTGAAGCGGAAGTGCCCCTGGAAACCCTCTCCAGGCCTCACTCGGTGTGGACCCAGAGACACTAGCTCCAGCGGGCAAACCCTGCGCGATGGCGTCACCATGCAGCGTGTGTTTCCAGGACAGAATGGACACTTCCAAAGCCCAGGCCCAGATTCCCTGGGTAGGTCTCCCAGGGCCCAGGTCTTGCCCTCAGGATTTTCCGAGGTTCTTGCTGGGCCGCTGCAAGGGAGAGCCGAGTGGATGGAAGGGATTTCCCCTCCCCAAAGTTATAATTGTTTGCCAAATGCTTTTCTTTCCATTCAGTTCTATAAATTTAACTTATGGGTTCCTAAAACAGATTTTGCACATAGTTCCTTGTCCTCAAAATCCCACATCAGCCTGACTACCAGGGAGGCCTCTGTGCCTAGAGATGTATGTGCGGGGCAGAGGCTAGCCTCCATTCATAGCTTGGCTAGCCCTCCACAAGGGTACAGGGTGAAAACCACTCCTTAGTTTCAGCAGTCAACACAGTTGTGGGGTTTTTATAATAAGAATGCAACATTAGTGTGAATACTAGGTTTCTTACCGGAAACAAATTACCCAACTTTGGATATTGCTCCTGAATAAAAAGTTCTGCCTGAATAAAAGTTCAAAGAATCCAGTTGTAGACTCCACCCATTCAAATATCTCTTGCCTATTATTTAATCATTTAGTGCAAATGGGGTTTTTTTCCCCTGAAAAACTTTTAGTATTTATGAAATTACTCTTAGTTGGAAGTATAAAATAAACCAACACTCAAACTTCTCTCACCCCAATTTCTAGACAAACACACTATATAAAAGAGGTGGTGATGTCTGGGGCTCCCAGAAACCAAATGCCAATTCCTCATGGGGTCATTACAAAGTGGTTAATTGTTGACACAGCAAGAAAAAAGAAAGGAAGTGATACAAACTTCTTTTCTTTCATATGCATAATATTCTGTAATGTCTTGTGGGGGTGGGGGATATCCAATTCAAAATAGTGGAACTTAACAACGTGATTTTCAAGCCCCATGGGGCCCCAAACTATAACAGCATGTTCCTTCCAACCCAAACGCTAGTTTAAGACCCTGCTGAATATAGCTGAATTGAGAGAATTCTGTTTTAGAAACACACAGAACCAAAGAAACCTAGCACTAGAGGGAGACAGACATGAATGGGGATAGCCCACCCAGATGGAACCTCTAAACTGTGGGTCTCCCAGGGACCTTGTCTTAGGTTACAATCAGCAGCATATGCAGAAATTTATCATCCCCCACCCCCAACACAATTCTCACTGTGAGCCTTATCTGCCCAAACCAGGTTACTAAAGCCAGAGCAGAGATTGATTGTCCTTGCCCAAGGTCAGCAGTCAAACATAAATTATACTTGGCCACATGCTCAGCTGTTCCTATCTCAGAAATCTTAGAGCATTTAGTTGCATATAGCAGGGGATTCTATAAATGTTGAATTGAATGGAATCACTGTTCTCAGCTGATCTCCACAGCTCACCTATTTCCTAATATCCAATTGATTCCTAGTATCAACCACCACTTATCACTTGGACCTTCTCTTGCCCATGTTTGCCATTAAGGCTTAAATCTCAGAACACCAGCTTAACTCACCTTTCAGACACTGAACTTGTCTATATTCTCCACTCTGACACCTGAGAAAGGCCTTGGCTTTGCCTCAAGACTCACCTGTCTCCACCATCTGACATCGCTTGATCTAGCCACAGCTACAAACACCCAGCTGTGACATTTAGAAGTGAGATCAAGGTGGGGAAGGATGACGAAGCAAGAGCAAGGAACTACCATTCGTTTTCCTCCCTGCTATGTGCCTGGCTCTGTACCCACCCTTACACATGGTACCTCTTTTCATTCTATTCCTAAAAAGCACCAGAGAAGAAGATGATACTTCCACTCTCTGAGATTTGGGTCAGGAAATAACTCATACCCCAAGATCCCAAGTGTTTTCACAAATGGAAACACTGAACCATTCCCTTAAATTACTGATTTTGAATTTCAGGTCTGAGAATTGATGAATATCCACAATGAAATTTTTACCCAACTACAACAAAATGAGAAAAATAAAAGCAATGAAATATGTTTTCATTAGACTGAAATCTTCTATTTAAAGGACTATCCTTTGTTTTGAGACCATAATAGAACTGTATCTTATAATGGAGTAGTCGTTTCTTCTTTTTTTTTTTTAAGATTTTTATTGGGGAATTGGGGGAAGGGGAACAGACAAGTTGCTGTCGTTTTGTTCTTCAGTCTAGTTGTGGAGGAAGTTGCTTCACTGGCCCAAGTTGGCACCATCATTGTGCTCTTCCCAGGTGAGGCAGATCAGTCACCGGCTTCTGGACGGCCGCTCACCACGGCTCCTAGCCGCTCACGCTCGCTACTGGCTTCACACGGTAGCCCATGGCAACCCACTTGCCATCGCCGGCGACTCAGGGCAGCCCAGCTCCAGGTTGAGCTGTTGTTCAGCATTTTAGGTATAGAGGGCAGCATCACTGGCCCTCATATGTGGGATCTGAACCAGGGCCCTCTGGCGTCCCAAGCCAGCTCTTAACCAACACGCCACTCGGCCGGCCCGAGTAGTCGTTTCTTATAGCAAAAATGGAATATAGTCAAAATTTACCTTCAGAATTCCTTAAGAAGATACCAAAATGAAGTCCAATACAGTATTTCTTTTTTAGGTTTCTTTTTTTTTATTGAAATTTATTGGGGTGACAATGGTCAACAAAACTATGTAGGTTTCAAGTGTGCAATTCTATAATACATCATCTATATATCACATTGTGTGTTCACAACCCAGAGTCAGTTCTCCTTCCATCACCATGTATTTGACCCCCTTTACCCTCTTCTACCAACCCCTGCCACTTACCCTCTGGTAACCACTGAACGTTTATCTGTGTCTGTGAGTTTTTGTTTCTTTATTTGCTTGTCTTGTTCCTTTGTTGCCTTCAGTTTTATATTCCACATATGAGTAAAGTCATATAGTCCTCACTACTTTTTAACAAATCCAATCACAGCCTATCTTTCCTACAGAGTGGAATAGAGTTATAGTTTTATGCTTGAGTATATCTGATGAAATGCTTGGCTTTCCCTTCAACGCCATCTTGTTTCTAAAGACAAACCTCTTAAAGACTAGAATGACAACCAACTGAGGAACATGGAAGTGGCGATGGGAACAGGAGATTCACTACACACCGAGCCCTCCTGGGAGAAGGGGAGTTTCACACCTGCTGTCCACTCCTCACTGCAGAGCACATACTCTGTAAGTGGAGCCATGGAGCAGCAGACAAACTATCCCACAGTCTTTAAAGTGTTTAGTTTTGAATATATCTGGCTGAAATAAAGTCACAAGAGTTAAATGAATGTATGACACTTTCTTCCCCCATATTCTTTCTTTTTTTGTTTTTGGTGGGGGAAAAAATATACGCGATCAGACAATTAAGTTTGTGAATTCATCCTAGAAAAAATGCTACATACCTCATTGCTGAATATCACTACAGTCACTTTTGAAGTACTCCCCTTGGGAAGCTATACACCGACACGAGTGCCTAGTCCACCCTTCAATGTTATTTTGGAACTCTTTTTCTGGAATGGCCATCAGAGCTGTCATCGTATTACACTTGATGTCCTGAATGTCATCAAAACGTCTTCATTTCAATATTTCCTTTATCTTCACGTGAAAAAAGAAGTTATTGGGGGTCAGATCAGAGGAGCAGGGAGGGTGTTCCAATACAGTTATTTCTTTACTGGCTGAAAACTCCCTCACAGGCAGTGCTGTGGGAGCTGGTGCCTTGTCATGATGAATTGGTGAAAAGTTCAGGTCGCTTTTGTCTAACTTTTTCATGAAGCCTCTTCAGCACTTCCAAATAGTAAATTTGGTTAACTGTTTGTCCAGTTGGTACAAATTCATAATGAGTAATCTCTCTGATATCAAAAAAGATTAGCAACATCATTGCAACAAGTTCGCAAACCTGTCAAACCTTGTAGTTGAGAAAATGAAAACTTGGCAATCTTATGTCAATCTCCAAGTTCCTTTAAAGGACATTTATTTATGAAAATCTGAAATGACAGTCATAATTTTAATATTATAATAGTAAGCAGGTATCATGTAAAGCAGGAATAAAAGTTGTAGCCAATATCTATCCCCAAGGTGAACTCTGGCTTCCTAAAGAAACTATCCATCTAAAAGCTGATTTTCTAAAATGCTTAATTTTAATACCATTGCTTTTATCATTTTTTCTAACTTACCATGGTTCTTTCTTGCAGTAGTATATTGGAAAACTTTGGCAAAAGGATACATTCACTATATCAAAATCTAGTTTCTGCCCAACTCCAATAAACCCACCTCTCTTCTTTATCTCAGTCAATGGAAACTCTATTTCTAGTCACTCAGGCCAAAGCTTTGGAGTCATCCTTGTATATTCTCTTTTTCTTTCACTCATTTCCAATCGAAGAGCAACTCTTGTCAGTTTTCTCTTTAACCTATATCCAGATTTCAACCATTGCTCACCACCTGCAAGCTACCATCAACCTTTGCGAATTATTACAATAACATCCTACTCGATTTGCCTACTTCAACCCTTGCGTTACATTCGTTTTTCAACACAGCAGCCTGAGCACTCCTGTTCATGCTTCACTTCAATCATCATTTATCTGCTCAAAATCTCCACGTGGCTCCACATCACACTAGAATAAAAAATTCTTAATCTGGGCAACAAGAGCACCATGTGACTTGACCTACTCACTTATCTTACCTTGCCCTAACTTACATCTCTGACTTCATCTCTTGCTGTCACTATTTAATGAATTTGGAATAGTGCCTGGCAAAAGGCAACTGATAGCAATTGGCATTTATGGTTGTTGTTGTTTAGTAGTAGTAGCAGTGTATTTCTATAACTACTATTGCTATTACCACTACTATTATCCCACCCCTCACTCACTCCACTGTAGCGATCCTGCCTCTCCTGCCATCCCCACGCACATGAAGTAGAGTTCTGCCTCCAAGCTTTGCATTTGTTCTTCCCCTTAACTAGAACACTCCTTTCCAAGATATCTGCCAGACTTCCTCACTCATCACCTTCAGGTCTTTACTCAAATATCATCCACTCTGTAAGTCCTTCTCTGACCAGCCTATTTAAAATTCCAACCTCTCCCTCTAACCATGGCACCCCATCCCCTTTCCTTGTTTATTTTTCCTTATAACAGTTACCACCTTCTGATATAATATATAGTATCTGTTCATTTTTGTTTGTAGTGTGTCTCTATACACTATAATGTAAGCTCCAAGATGGTAGTGATTTATATATCCTTTGTTTACAGTTATACACCAGCATATAGTAGATAATAAATATATGTTGAGTAAATAACATTTATATGACAAATAACATTTATATGAATGTTATATAAATAACATTCAGATAATCAAAAACACAAAAATTTGCTGAATTTGATACCCATTCATGATATTTATAAACCTCTTAGGAAACTGGAAAATCTTTCAATCAGACAAAGGGTAGCTACACAAAAATTCAATAGCTAACATAACACATAATAGTGAAATATTGAACTCTTTCCCACTTAGGATAAGAATATGACAAGGATGTCCACCTTACATTTCTGATTAATATTGAATAAAAACAGTTAAGCTTAACTGTTTTATTTAAAGATGATATGATTGTCTATGTAGAAAGTTGAAATGAATCTATAAATTATTAAATCTAGCAAGTGAAATTAACAAGGTCATGCTACTTTAGCTATAAAATAGCATCCAAAAATCTATATTATTTCTAAATTCCAAAAACAAACTATTTAAAAATATAAATTTAAATATCATTTACATCCAGAAAAATTAAACATAGAATTACCATATGATCCAGTAATTCCACTTCTGGATATATAAAAACAAAATTGAAAACAAGACTCAAACAGATGTTTCTACACCAATGTTATTGGCAGCATTATTCACAATAAACAAAAAATGAAAACAACCTAGGTGTCCATTGATAAATGAGTGGACAAACAAAATGTGATATACATTGGGTTGTCGGAAAAGTCATGATGCACATTTGCAACAGATGGCACTAGTTCATTTTTGGAAGTACTAGAGTCATTCGCATCTATGGTATTGCTATGTCATTTGACAGCTGATAGTTCTAGCTTCATTATAAAAAAATTGAGTGATTTGGTTAAGTTTTGGAGATTTTACAACAAGTTGAAGATGGAAGACCAAACTGTGCATTTTTGCCATATTTTACTGTTTTATTTCCATAAAAGGAAGAACATGTGTCAAGCTTGTGAAAAATTGCACAAAATTTATGGTGACAATGCTCTACAAGAACATCAGTGCCAACGATGGTTTACAAAATTCCGTGCTGGTGATTTTGATCTCAACTACGCTCCTCGGTCAGGGAGGCCCACGGAGGTTGATGACAACAAAATAAAGGCATTGATCAAGTCAAACCCACGTTACATGACACGAGAGATTGCAGAAACATTGAACATCCATTATTCAAGTGTTCATGACCACCTGAAGAAGCTGGGATATGTAAACAAGCTTGATATTTGGGTTCCTCATGAACTCAAAGAAGTTCATTGGACGGCATGTATAAACATTTGCAATATGCTCATTAAACTTGAGGAAAACGATCCTTTTTTGAAGCAACTGATAACTGGTGATGAGAAGTGGATTGT